GTGCTATAAGTCAATTCATAGATTAAATGGCTTACAACCATCGATGTTTTTTAAATTTGCGAGTGACTTTAGGCCTTTAAAAGCAAAACACTGTTTTAAATTGAAGTCAGTACATGCGAAATTGGATAGTTTTAAGTATTCATTTCTTATGCGAATAATTGAATTAACCTTGGAATAATGTTCCAAAACATGTTGCTGAAGATGGAAGCTTAACGATCTTCAAATAAAGATAGAAGGATCACCTGGGACTGTAATATCTATAACTAATAATAATAATTTATTAACTATAATAACTATTAAACTAGAATTTTTTGTTCTGTTTTTCTTTTTGGAGATAATTTATATAGGGATAACCTCTTTATCTCCTTTTCACATGTAAATTTTTTGGAGTTAGTGGAGTTGATGGAGTTAGTAATCGGATGCTTAAGCTATGTATGAATGGGTTAGGCAAGCCGCTTACAAAACTTATAAATACTTCGTTTGTTCTTGGCCAGTTTCCATCAGCTTGGAAATTAGCGAATGTATTGCCTTTATATAAAACTGAAAATCGCCAATTTAAAAACAATTATCGTCCTGTTTCACTTCTTTCTTGTTTAAGTAAAATTACTGAAAGGATTGTATTTAATAGATTATACTCGGATCTTGAAAGTATTGGTTTTTTTATCGCTTTCAATCAGGTTTCCGCCCTGGCGATTCCACAGTAATGCAATTGGTTTATATTGGTCATAGAATACATGAGGCATTAGACAGAGGCAACGAAGTAAGAGCGGTCTTTTTAGATATTTCCAAAGCCTTTGACAAAGTTTGGCATGAGGGACTCCTTTTAATATTAAAACGTTTGGGGATTGATGGCGCACTGTATAAATGGTTTGAATGTTATTTGAGTGGCAGAAAACAACGTGTTGTCTTAGAAGGTACATGCTCGTCATGGAAAGAAATTACATCAGGTGTTCCTTTTGGGGCCTCTTTTATTCCTGATATACATCAATGATATCCAGGCTGATGTTTCTAGTGAATGTTTTCTATTCGCAGATGATTCTTGTTTACTTCAAGAGGTTTCATCACCATGAGTACAGACCGCTCAGGTTCTTAATAATTACTTGAGTACTATTCACTCCTGGTCTGCAGATAAATGGTTAGTAACTATGAATTCGTCTAAAACAAAAACTATGGTTTTTTCTCTTAAAAAAGATAAGCCAGTTCATCCTGATTTAAAATTAGACGATAAGGTAATTGAGGAAGTATGTGCCCACCATCATTTGGGACTCTTGTTTTCTAACAACATGTCTTGGACTCGTCATGTTTTTAATATACGTGAACAAGCTCTAAAAAAATTGAATCTTTGACGACTTTGTACAAGTCGTTAGTTCGTTCGAACCTTGAATACGCCGATGTTGTTTGGGATGGGGGTCCACAATATGAATCTGATTGGCTTGAATCCGTAAATACTGATGCTGGAAGGATAATAACTGGGGCTATGATGGGTACGCACAGGGAAAATGTATTACAAGATATTGGTTTACATAAGCTTAGTGACAGAAGGAAAATACATCAAGTTACTTTGTTCTATAAGATTAAAAATGGATTAGTTCCTGGATATATCTCTGATCTTTGTCCTGTTCGAGTATTCGGGTTGGTCAAAGATCTGAGTATACACTCCGATCAAGTAATGACTTGTGCGTGCCCTTTGCCTCTGCGGAAAAATTTAAGAAGTCCTTTTTACCATCGACTATAAAATTTTGAAATACTCTTCCAGAACAACTACGAAATTCTTCTTCAGTTGACTCTTTTAGAATTAATTTGACTCGTGACGTGATTTATTTTATGTACCTCCTGCTAATAAACTATTCAATCTTGGGGATCGTTATTTAAACATTTTACACACTAGACGAAGACTCAAAAACTGTGCTTTAAATTATTATCTTTATTTAATGAATTGTATCGAATCACCTTCTTGTATTTGTGGTGCATTTAAGGAGGATGTAACACATTACTTAATGTTTTGTCCATGTTTTGCTGCTCTGCGCGATTCCATGCTTTCCTCCATTGTGCAGAATGCTGGAAATAATTGGTTGTCTCTTAGCTTATCTCAGCAAGTAGATTCGTTACTTAATGGTTTACCAATGTTGAATTTTCCTGCTAATTCTGCTATATTTACCGCAGTAAGATTATTTATTGAGCAATCAGCACGTTTTAAGACGTTTTAAATATGAAATCTACTGTGTTGGTGTAATGTACTCAGGTGAATAAGATGTTTGTGTGATGTTACTCTGAGTGTATATCCACACCGGGCAGGCTTGAAAAATATGCCTGGCCACGGCGGGATTCGAACCTACGACCTTTGGAATACTAGCCCAATGCTCTGCCAACTGAGATACGCGGTCAGGACGGTTCGGGTATGCGATATTTCGGAACTGAGTCTAGTTCCTTCGATATCAGTGTAATCTAATAATCATGAAATCTACTGTGTTGGTGTAATGTACTCAGGTGAATATGATATTTGTGGTGTTACTCTGAGTGTATATCCGCACCGGGCAGGCTTGAAAAATATGCCTGGCCACGGCGGGATTCGAACCTACGACCTTTGGAATACTAGCCCAATGCTCTGCCAACTGAGATACGCGGTCAGGACGGTTCGGGTATGCGATATTTCGGAACTGAGTCTAGTTCCTTCGATATCAGTGTAATCTAATAATCATGAAATCTACTGTGTTGGTGTAATGTACTCAGGTGAATAAGATGTTTGTGTGATGTTACTCTGAGTGTATGTCCACACCGGGCAAGCTTGAAAAATATGCCTGGCCACGGCAGGATTCGAACCTACGACCTTTGGAATACTAGCCCAATGCTCTTCCAACTGAGCTACGCGGTCAGGACGGTTCGAGTATATTAGAGTACATTACACCAACACAGCAGATTTCATGATTATTAGATTACACTGATATCGAAGGAACTAGACTCAGTTCCGAAATATCGCATACTCAAACCGTCCTGACCACGTAGCTCAGTTGGAAGAGCATTGGGCTAGTATTCCAAAGGTCGTAGGTTCGAATCCCGCCGTGGCCAGGCATATTTTTCAAGCCTGCCCGGTGTGGAATACACTCAGAGTAACATCACGCAAACATCTTATTCACCTGGGTACATTACACTAACACAGCAGATTTCATGGTTATTAGATTACACTGATATCGAAGGAACTAGACTCAGTTCCGAAATATCGCATACTCGAACCGTCCTGACCGCGTAGCTCAGTTGGAAGAGCATTGGGCTAGTATTCCAAAGGTCGTAGGTTCGAATCCTGCCGTGGCCAGGCATATTTTTCAAGCTTGCCCGGTGTGGACATACACTCAGAGTAACATCACACAAACATCTTATTCACCTGAGTACATTACACCAACACAGCAGATTTCATGATTATTAGATTACACTGATATCGAAGGAACTAGACTCAGTTCCGAAATATCGCATACTCCAACCGTCCTGACCGCGTAGCTCAGTTGGAAGAGCATTGGGCTAGTATTCCAAAGGTCGTAGGTTCGAATCCCGCCGTGGCCAGGCATATTTTTCAAGCCTGCCCGGTGTGGATATACACTCAGAGTAACATCACACAAACATCTTATTCACCTGAGTACATTACACCAACACTGCAGATTTCATTTATATATTACTTAACAACAAGACATATAGCTGTATACCCCGAATATATAAGTTTTAGATATATAACACTAATGCTATTTCATATAGTATCAGATTTTTTTACTTTAGAGGTAAATTAAACGAATCACTTGACAATAACAGCAAAATGCTAGAGCTGTACTTATAAAACTCCGGACAACAACATATTCTCTTGTGTATAGCCCTAACTTTTGTATCATACACGCGGAGAGACTCTAAAAAATGCTTAGTCAGCAAGTTTCACCTGATCGTGTTTAAGCTCGCCCGCGCGACGTCATTGCATATAATTATGACGTATGTTAATGAGTGACGTCATTACGCACCCTCACTTATGCGGCCCCCTTAATTACCTGCATATATAATGATGCGGCCCCTTGCATAGTAATTACTTATATATATATAATGATGCGGCCCCCTTGCGGCCCCCTGAAAATAAGGCCCGAACGGTACCTATATTACTACTTTCGTGTAGTCCAAAAATTATAAAAAGAGGGGCTCTCCAAGGAAGGCATAAACCACCAGAAATATTTTGTTCTTGATCCTATATGGTACACAATTTCCCGCACATTTTAAGCCGTTAAGGTATAAAATTACAATTTTATCACAGTAAGGCAAGAAAATATAACCTATGCTCATTAGCCAGAATTATCATTGCTAGTCTGAAGGCCCCCTATATTTTTTTGCGTGAAGGGTGATGGCCCCCCTATACTTTTTGCGTGAAGGGCTTATTTTACTCAGCCGTGAAACGTCATCGATGATTTTCTTAATCCGTGAACGTGAAGGAATTTAATCCATTTTTCGTGACTAGTGATAAGGCAAAATATTTTTACGTGAACGCATATTGTAAAGAGGTATAGGGGCCCTCTATTCTGTTCTACAAAAATCGGTATAAACGTATTTTGATTCTACAATCATTCCCAAATCTTGATAAACTCCCTGTACCCCCTTGCTAAATACGCTGAGATTGTTAATGAAATGTTGCTGTTAAAATTTGAAATGAAGATAAAGATGCAATTAAAACTATTAATTAAAATATTTGCCACATTTCATTGTAGTTAGTATAGTTTAGTTCATTGTTGTTCGTACAAGTATCTTAGTTTAATAGTTGGAACACTGGTAACACAGGACGTGATGGAAAGCAAGTTTTGCAGCATTATTTTCTTTTCGCTTGCTTACCCTAATTTTTAGAATAATAAAATATTGATTACCAATAACGTAAAGTAATAACATGTAACGTGAAAAAATGTGAATATTGAACAGTAATAGTCCTTCACGACCATGGATTCTATACACCTGAGTGATGAGGACAATTAGAATTCTCAATCGATATAAACCATGCTATCGAGCAATACAGCATTCCAAATAATAATCCGCAGTATAACATTGAAACATAGCATCAGAAATTAAAATATTACATCTGATTCACAATTTTCTATAACGCCAATATACCGATTATAATACCAGTGTTCTTAGTATCGTAACGATCTATAAATAAAAAATTCACGCCCATTCATTGCATAATTACCCTTGCTTTTATAGGTATATAAATATGTCGAAACTTCTGATCGCAGTGAAAGCAGGAAATTTTCATAATGTGAAAAGGTTAGTTGAACATGGTGCTGAAGTAAATTGTGAAAAGCGTAACGTTGGTAGTCCTCTTCACTCTGCAGTATCATCTGGTTCCCTGGAAATTGTCAAATATTTAGTTGAACATGGTGCTGATGTAAATTTTGAATTCGTTAATATTGGTAGTCCTCTTCACTCTGCAGTATCATCTGGTTCACTGGAAATTGTCAAATATTTAGTTGAACATGGTGCTGATGTAAATTGTGATAGTCGTTACGTTGGTTTTCCTCTTCACTCTGCAGTATCATCTGGTTCCCTGGAAATTGTCAAATTTTTAGTTGAACATGGTGCTGATGTAAATTTTGAATTATTTAATACTGGTAGTCCTCTTCAGTCTGCAGTATCATCTGGTTCACTGGAAATTGTCAAATATTTAGTTGAACATGGTGCTGATGTAAATTGTGAAAAGCGTTACGTTGGTAGTCCTCTTCACTCTGCAGTGTCATCTGGTTCCCTGGAAATTGTCAAATATTTAGTTGAACATGGTGCTGATGTAAATTTTGAATTCTTTATTCTTCACTCTGCAATTTCATCTGGTTCACTGGAAATTGTCAAATATTTAGTTGAACATGGTGCTGATGTAAATTGTAAAAATTATTCGGTTGGTAGTCCTCTTCACTCTGCAGCATCATCTGGTTCACTGGAAATTGTAAAATATTTAGTTGAACATGGTGCTGAAGTAAATTGTGAAAAGCGTAACGTTGATAGTCCTCTTCACTCTGCAGTATCATCTGGTTCACTGAAAATTGTCAAATATTTAGTTGAACATGGTGCTAACGTAAATTTTAAAAATGATTTGGTTAGTAATCCTATTCACACTGCAGTGTCATCTGATTCACTGGAAATTGTCAAATATTTAGTTGAACATGGTGCTGAAGTAAATAGTGAAAAGAGTAACGTTGGTAGTCCCCTTCACTCTGCTGTATCATCTGGTTCACTGGAAATTGTCAGATATTTAGTTCAACATGGCGCTGATGTAAATTTAAATTCTTTAACATTGGTAATCCTCTTCACTCTGCAGTATCATCTGGTTCACTGGAAATTGTCAAATATTTAGTTGAACATGGTGCTGATGTAAATTGTAAAACTTGTTGGGTTGGTAGTCCTCTTCACTCTGCAGTATCATCTGGTTCACTGGAAATTGTCAAATATTTAGTTGAACATGGTTCTGAAGTAAATTTTGAAAAGGGGTTAGTTGGTTGTCCTCTTCACTCTGCAGTATCATCTGGTTCACTGAAAATTGTCAAATATTTAGTTGAACATGGTGCTGATGTAAATTGTTACATTTGTTCGGTTGGTAGTCCTCTTCACTCTGCAGTATCATCTGGTTCACTGGAAATTATTAAATATTTAGTTGAACATGGTGCTGAAGTAAATTTTGAACAGCGTAATGTTGGTAGTCCTCTTCACTCTGCAGCAACGTCGGATTCACTGGAAATTGTCAAATATTTAGTTGAACATGGTGCTGATGTAAACTGTATAAACCGGTTCAATAAACCTGTGATTCACAATGCTGCTAAGTTTGGTTCATTGGAAATGTTTAAATACTTAGTTGAATATGGTGCTGAACTAACAAATGAAGAAAATCTTGACATGCCTACAACTCTATTTGAGGCTTGTGAAGGTGGAAATGCGTCAGTTGTTGACTACCTTCTCCAACATGGAGCGATGAAAGGCGTAAATAACTGCAAATTGAATTTTCCCTTGCGTATAGCGTGTGGGAAAGGACATACTGCCGTAGTTCAAACATTACTGAAATATAACGTTGATATACGAAAAGAGAAGGAGCCATTAATATGTGGCAATATTGAGATCATAAATATTTTGAATTTGGAATTAAAGAAGTCTGTTAAACATCGCGAAAAAATTAAGATTTTGAAAGGAATGGACAACGTGAAATTGACAAAGGTAATATTATACTTTTATTGCATGCAAAGCAAAAAGAAACGGGATCTAAAAATCGTCTATTTATTGGTTATTATTTTTTCTTAAAAATTAAAGAGTCAGATAATGTGGAGTTTGTCTGCTCGGTAACCAGCTTTGCCCGGCCGTTTAATCGGGTTCCCAATTTATTTTCTTATTGTGTTTTGTTTCAAGATTTCAATCACATTGAAACCGGGGTGTTAGTTCAAAATTGCCTATTTTCGCCATATAATTGATTTTGGCCCAAACTTTGACGGGCAAAATGGCGGATTATGCATTACATACTGGATCATTAGGAGTGAAGCATTTTATTTTTATTTGACTGGGCGTAGTCATAGCTATGTCATTTGCCAAAATTACTGTGATTATCGACTCAATCTGTAGCTTTAAATATGGGAGATTCACATCGTGTTGCTACCTGTAAGCTGTCCTAGTTCTTAGGTCAACTTCATGGTCTATTGGCGTATAATAAAATATGGCATTAGGCCTACTTGAAAATTTTGCCAAAACGTAGTCCTAAATCTGCTTACATCTTCAGTCCAACTCGTCATTAAATTTGGCGCAATCGCTTGGTAAAATGCACATTCTATGCGTATTTTCAGTGGGTGGAATGTTGATATTTTAACCGAGAAATTCCTGCTTATGATCCAAAAGAACTGCAAGAAGAGTGATGTTTTAAAATTGTCGTCCATGTTTGTTTTCGGCAAGAAGCTTTATTCCTAGGGTTTTTTCAATTTATATATTCACAAAAATTGAATAAAAGCAACGAAATCCTATTTCTTTAATTAAAGCATGCTTAGGTATCAATAAGTTTTCATTCGTAAAGCCGATGAATTATATTGCAGGTGCATGTCTTGAACGTTTGGCCTGGCGATTCAATAATATTAATTGTTTATCTAAAATTTATCACCAATAGAACAAAGGATGCATATTTGCCTTACTTCATCATATGATTGGCATCTAATAATTTACACCAAACAAATGCTTTTCGTCTTTAATAATGTGCAGACGTTTTTCGCAGTGTTTGTCGCCATGGACATCTGTGGCTTTAATTCAGAATATTTCATGTTAAAAACTGTTAAGGAAAATAAATGCGAGGTTTGATGCATGCAGGTATTTCTAGCATCATAGTATGTATTAGGGAATATTACTTCTTTCCAGGAACAGCTGAGTAAGTTTCTTGACCTGGTTAAATAATTCTGTATCTTTTCATGCTTTACGGAGATAATTTTGAATTCAAAACTTATCGATGTAGAACTATTTTATTCGTCAGTCATAGTGATAAAAAATGCTTTTTTCTACCATAGGTTGGACAGCCGGTGAAGTATTTTTCACCTCAGAAGTCTTTGATACTTGGGAAAGGTTCAATGGGAATTGTTTATGTTGGTATCATGGAAGATGGTGCTGAAGTAGCTGTGAAGAGGATCTTGAAACACGAGTTTGAAGACACAGCTAAAAATGAGATAGAAATTCTAAGTCGAATTGATGCAATCAAGTCACCATTTATAGTAAGCTATCAAAAATGTTTAGAAGACGCCACTTTTGTGTATATAGTTTTAGATCTCTGCGAAGAAACATTGAAGGAACACGTTTGTTCTCAAAGTTTGGAATATCTGCAAGATCATGGTCCAAGAATGATTAAAGAAACCTTAAGCGGAATTGAATTTCTTCACGGTGAAAACATTTTGCACAGAGATCTCAAACCATCAAATGTCTTGGTTGATCACGAAGGTCACATGAGATTGGCAGACTTTGGAATAAGTCGTGTTTTGAATGAAGAAGAAACCACAGTTCGTACAGGTGCGAAGGGAACCCGAGACTGGATGCCCACCGAAGTAATTGAAGTAGTAGATAAAGAAGAGAAAGGACGTTTTAAAAAGAAATCTGATGTTCAAGTCGCAGGTATGATCGCTTTCTTCATATCGACCAAAGGTGAACATCCTTTTGGTTCTGTGCTTGAACGAATGATAAACATTTCGAAAGGAAATCCTGTTAACTTGGACAAGCTTCACGATCTTCAAGTTCGGAAATTTATTTCATGGTTGATCTGTCATAACATTGATGATAGACCTTATGCTCACGAAGCGTTGGCGAATCCCTTTATGGTCCATGTAACAGATTCTCTCAGGAGAATTATATTACAAAAACCCCGTATATAGGAAAGTGCGTTTCCCCTTGCTAAGTGTATGTAGGCCTACAAATGTGAATTATTCGCACATAGCCTAAAACTTTACTTTCACATGTGAAAGAATATGTGAAACTCAAATTCAATGTATGAAAATTATGAATTTCGCGTATGAAATGAACAATTTCGCATGTGAACTTTTCCATTATATTTGAACAAAACCATAGGAGCCCAAAAATGCGTGTAGAATGCACCAAATGCCAATTTATAACTAAACTCGCCCTCATTCCTCTAACATTTGTCGCGCCCCGCAATCACTCAATGAATTGAAAAGATTGAAAAGCATTGTTATTATTGTTTATATATATATATATATATATATATATATATATATATATATATATATATATATATATATATATATATATATATATATATATATATATATATATATATATATATATATATATATATATATAACAAAGTTTTGTTATTGCAGTAGATTAAAGAGTGCTCAATACAAAAATTTGTAGAGCAATATTTATTTAATCTTAAAAATGGTATATGTTGCTACTCAGAGTTTCATGCAATTTCGCAATCTTCAGGCAACTGTTATAACAGTTGCCTGAAGATTGCGAAATTGCATGAAACTCTGAGTAGCAACATATACCATTTTTAAGATTAAATATATATATATATATATATATATATATATATATATATATATATATATATAAGCAATAATAACAATGCTTTTCAATCTTTTCAATTCATTGAGTGATTGCGGGGCGCGACAAATGTTAGAGGAATGAGGGCGAGTTTAGTTATAAATTCGCTATCATGTTGTTTGTTGTTTTTTCCATGGTTTTCTTCTAGTTTGGTAGTAATATTTTTGAGTTTCTTCTCAATGGTCGTTTGTTTTTTCAGGATGGCAACAAGATTTGTGTTTTCCTTTAACAAAAGTTCATTTGATGCTTCCAGTGATGAAATTCTTTTCTTCAGCTGTTCTAATTCCTTGTCTTTTCCCTTCTTTTCATTTTTCAAATCTTCAAAAGATTTAATAACTTGTTGGAATGTCACAAAGTTTAATTCCAGGTTTGCCGTATTGTTTTTGATAGTTGAAATCGATTCACGAGCTGGATTTTGGTTTGTTTGAGGTTCTGGTGAGGGTTCTGATACAGTTTTAGCAGGGGTAAAAGTAGGGATGGAACTCTCCTCTGTTGTTGGTTGGGATTTTATATTAAGACATGATTTCAGAAAATTTTCCAGCTCTTTTGTTAATGTGCTGGATTCTTCTGGGTTTCTGTCGACAAGATCTTTCAATATCGGAAATTCTTTATCACCCCACTCATGAAGTAAGCGGCCTTGAATTTGAATTCTTCCTGTGCTGCAATATATTATTAGGGTAGCAATGTTTTCTTGCTGGTTTTTATCTTGAATTGCTAGGCTCAGAGTTATCTTCTCACATTTAGTGTTGTCATCATAAGCAGCCTGTTCTTCCCATGATGTTATCAGTGATCTAGCGATATTATTTGAATCTTCGTCGTCCTGTTGAAGTATTTCAGAGTTGGCAGCGTGATATCGGTAATAAAATGTTTTGATCCACGTTCCGATTCTTTTCTCCGAGGTTTTAAATGCTATGCAATTTGACGATGCTTTGTAGATTGAATAATCCACTTCCTAGAAAGGGACTTTGCGAGCCTTGGTATTTTTAAATTCGTTGAATTGATATCTCATAAACGAGAGATCAGGACTCTTGTTTTTCGTCGAGGACATATTTTGATTATTTTGTTTGCTTCTTCGGATAATTTCCTTTGAGATTTTAATGTTATAAATCTACATATACTTAACTTCACAATTTATCAAAGATCACTCAATGTAAACAAAAAAATTATATACTAAAAGCCTGTTTTCATCGGCAACTAAATTTCCAAGTGGCAGCCATTATTAAATATATATATATATATATATATATATATATATATATATATATATATATATATATATATATATATATATATATATATATATATATATATATATATATATATATATATGTATATATATATATGTATATATATATATATGTATATATATGAAACAGCTGTCCACAGTTGCCGTTGTTTGAGCTTTCCTTGAAGGGCGCTACAATGTCTTTACTTATGTGCTTTATCGCCGTTTTTAAACCGTGAAATGCAGTGAGCGTGCGCATAAAGGCTTAGGCATAATGTGTAGTATATAAAGTTCTGTAGTGTCCCACATCCACCACACTGTCTTCTATAGTATATATATTCTTTGTATGTGGAAGCTCATCATCGGTGCACTGTGCTGATGAGCCCCAAAAAGGGCGAAACAGCTGTCCACAGTTGCCGTTGTTTGAGCTTTCCTTGAAGGGCGCTACAATGTCTTTACTTATGTGCTTTATCGCCGTTTTTAAACTGTGAAATGCAGTGAGCGTGCGCATAAAGGCTTAGGCATAATGTGTAGTATATAAAGTTCTGTAGTGTCCCACATCCACCACACTGTCTTCTTTTGTATATATATTCTTGGTATGTGGAAGCTCATCATCGGTGCACTGTGCTGATGAGCCCCAAAAAGGGCGAAACAGCTGTCCACAGTTGCCGTTGTTTGAGCTTTCCTTGAATGGCGCTACAATGTCTTTACTTATGTGCTTTATCGCAATTTTTAAACTGTGAAATGCAGTGAGCGTGCGTGTAAAGGCTTAGGCATAATGTGTAGTAT